GCATACAAGCTTGATCAAATAATGACTATATTTAGCCCACCTCCTGTAAGGGGGAAACATTGTTTTAGATTTCAGCCCCTCTTAGCAAAGTGCCTGGGAATTTTATGTAGATTTAGCTCAGGGGCTTTCAGACCAAAGAGGAGAGCGTTTTTTTGGAGTTTCAAAGGGACTAGTAACTTGATGATTTCAATAGAGGGGTGTTTGGGATGTCCTATTTTACATCTTTCTCAGGTTAGGGCAGGGCTTGAGAAGAGGTGACAGAGAATTTTATATAGATTTAGCTCAGGGGCTTTCAGACCAAAGAGGAGAGCATTTTGGAATTTCAAAGGGACTAGTAACTTGATGATTTCAATAGAGGGGAGTTTGGGATGTCCTATTTTACATCTTTCTCAGGTTAGGGCAGGGCTTGAGAAGAGGTGACAGAGAATTTTCTGTAGATTTAGCTCAGGGGCTTTCAGACCAAAGAGGAGAGCATTTTGGAATTTCAAAGGGACTAGTAACTTGATGAGTTCAATAGAGGGGAGTTTGGGATGTCCTATTTTACATCTTTCTCAGGTTAGGGCAGGGCTTGAGAAGAGGTGACAGAGAATTTTCTGTAGATTTAGCTCAGGGGCTTTCAGACCAAAGAGGAGAGCATTTTGGAATTTCAAAGGGACTAGTAACTTGATGAGTTCAATAGAGGGGAGTTTGGGATGTCCTATTTTACATCTTTCTCAGGTTAGGGCAGGGCTTGAGAAGAGGTGACAGAGAATTTTCTGTAGATTTAGCTCAGGGGCTTTCAGACCAAAGAGGAGAGCATTTTGGAATTTCAAAGGGACTAGTAACTTGATGAGTTCAATAGAGGGGAGTTTGGGATGTCCTATTTTACATCTTTTTCAGGTTAGGGCAGGGCTTGAGAAGAGGTGACAGAGAAGGGGAAGGCAGAAAGGGGCACAAAGCCAATGAAGGCCTGTGTCAAATCCTTTGTCCCTCCCTGACCATCAAACTCACACAGACACACAGTCACACACACACACACACACACCTTTTTTTTCTGAACTGCAACCATCTTTGAAGTAACCTATGACGCCAGTAAACAAAAACAGAGATAAATATCAGACTCACCAAACGTTTATACAAAAGCTAACCATCCCCGAAGCTTTATATAATCACCATCCAGCTGTGTGCTCTTGTAAAGTTGTTGTAAATCCCCCTTTTTTTTCTTGTAAACAGGAAAGTACATAATGTAAAGCAACAGGCTGGAGATCACAAATACTCAGGCTCTTGAAGGGGGGGGCAGCGGAAAAGGCGTTGCTAATTGTTCCCTTTCTAATGATGTTTGGGGGGGGGCTCCCCATCCCTGAATAACCCCGGAATGGAGGTAATTAAAAAAAATTAAAAATAATCTGTCCTCAAATGCCATCAAAGGATACCTTCCCCTTTTCCCCACACGAAAGGTTTGGATTACAGAAAGCGGCTGAATGTCAAACACATACGAGACCACTTTGCCTGCCTTTGCTTTGCGAGGAGAAGAGGAAGCTGGGTAGAGAAAATTGCCTGCTGGGTGGCCAAGATGGAACCAGACAAGGCCACGTGGCTCCTTCTAGTTAGGAGAGACTTTTCAGAGTCAGAATCAGAACTGAGCTGGAAGGGGCCTTGGAGGTCTTCTAGTCCAGCCCCCTGCTCAAGCAGGAGATCCTAGACCATTTCAGACAAGTGACTGGCCAGTCTCTTAAACCCCCAGCGACGAAGCACTGACAACCTCCGGAGGCAAGCTGTTCCACTGGTTAATTGTCCTCCCTGTTAGGAAGTTTCTCCTTCATTCCAGGTTGCTTCTTTCCTTGATTAGTTTCCATCCACCGTTTCTCTTCCTGCCCTCTGGTGCTTTGGAGAATAAATTGTCCCCTTCCTCTTTGTTTGCTGTCAGCACTGATAGCAACCAAGACTCCCCATGAAGATAACTTACTGACTGGATTTTAATGTTGTGTTCAAAGCAAGGATTTTTTCTCTCTCACTAGACCAGGGGTGTCCAACCTTGGCAACTTGAAGACCTGTGGACTTCAACTCCCAGCCACACCGGCTGGGGAATTCTGGGGGTTGAAGTCCACAGGTCTTCAAGTCGGAACGCCCCTGCAACCGACCAAATTTAGCTTTTCAACAACCTGAGGAGGTCGTTAGACTGAGGACTCTCTCAAAGCTAGGTGAGAATATGAAGATGGAGATCTTTTATTGCCCATCCCGCTGGTTGTCTTGAAATGTTCTCGATCACAAGGCCCACCACCTGTTAATTCCACTGCATGCTAACTTGACACCCAAGATGAAACTGATTTTCCGAGCTGAATGCACGTTTCCCAAATTGTTCCTCGTTCTTCGCGGAACTTGTGATGGAGGCTAAACCTGAGTTTACAATCTTATGAGCTGGCCAAATTGAGTTGAGGAGGAATATGGTCCTAACATGCTTTCTCCTGTGAGAAAAAAAGAAACTCTCAAAATGAAAGATGGATGGGCTGCCAATGAGCTGCCAACTGGGGAACCACACATCTGAAAGTGACCAAGGTTGAGAAACATCGCCTTTAACTCAGGACTTCGGCGTTCGTGAAGGTAGGGATATGGGGAGCCTTTCCCAAAAAAATCTCCTTAAAATTTGCTGTTGCTGTGTCTTTTCTCTTACAGCCATCGAAGGTGAAAACAATTCACTCTTTGGACAGTGGTGGTATTAAATGCAAAAATTAAACGAACACGATCTTATATTCAGGTTGTTTCAAATGCTGTCATTTTATTCTTTACTAGTTTTGGAGCTAGCAAACTTTGGTTTTGTTTCTCCAAAGCCAGGGAGTGCACCTGTCTGGAAATTTTTTTTGGGAAAACCCTGAATTTTAATTGGGGAAATCAGACTCAGCTCCATTCAAACCCCAAAACAGAACGGTTTTACTACCTGCACCACAGAATCGCCAATTTGGATTAGTCCATACAGCTGATGAAGTGGTGACCCATGAAAAGAAAAGGCACGCAATAATAAAAACGGGTTAATTTTTGCAGGAATTTTGCAAATTTCCATCTGTGTGGCTTGAATATAAACCTGCCTTTGGCTACTAGAAAGAACCGCCTGTGCAAAACAGAACACTTCCCACTTTGTATCTGGCATGCACAGTGTTTGCAGCTGATATTCTCCAGATGCCAGCTGGCTAACTTTATATATATGGAGAGAGGCAGTTTGGTCTAGTGGTTAAGACACCAGGCTGGAAGTGAGATGCCATGAGTACTTTGGGCCAATCACCAGGAGACAGAATTGTAGTCTCTGCATCTTAGCCATGAAAGCCAGCTAGATAACTTTGGTCCAATCACCAGGAGACGGTGAGTTCTAGTCCTGCGTTAGTCATGAAAGTCAACTGAGTGACTTTGGGTCAGTTGCGCGCTCTCTCTCTCTCTTGTCCCACCTCATTGGGTTGTTGTTTTAGGGAAAATAGGAGAAGGAAGGAGTATTAGGTATGTTTGTCGCCTTGAGTTACTTATAGAGTAATGAAGATGGAATACAAATCTAATTATATAATAATCTAAAACAGTGAGAAGGGGAGATTCAAGAGTGAGACCAAAATGAGAACGCCCCAATGGCTGATTTAGAAGCAAAGTTGGCAAACAAGAAAGGTGGAAATTGACTTGCTTGGAACTGGAAAGGACCCAGAGCAGACAGTGCCTTTGTGTGCATGAGTGCTGACACCTTTGGGGTGGGTACCACTGATAACATTTGGTGGAGTCCCCCCCCCCTAGAAATAAACAAAGATAAGTAATTAACTAACTGCAAGCCTTGGGGGGGATGACAAACAAGCAAACGGTCAAAAGCTACATCGGAATAAGCCAATTGCAATTTCATTCCAGATAAAGGCATCCTTCCAACTGCTAATTCAATAAGTGAGGTGTGTTAGCAATTAACCCGGTTTATCCTGGTCAGGGAGGGGAATGGGAAATGGGAGAGAGGGTGGGTTGGATCTAGCCATCATCCCCTGAAATGAATGGACTGAGACCTTGGGGCAGGTGAAAAAAAAGTCCTTCCAGACAAGGAAACTGGGCATCCTTGGGATACAGCTGTGGACCTTGGCACCCAGGAGGACTTCCACCAGTCAAGACAGATGGCCGGAGAAGGTACCACTGTGGCCTGATGGGAAATGAAAGCACCTGGCGCTGAGACAGGTATTCTTTTGGGGGGGGGGAGGTTACAGGGGAAGGCTTTTCAGAAAGGGCAGGGCTGCTGGGTGAGAGATGCTTGAAATGGAAGACTCAGAGATTGCCTTGGGTGTCTTCAAGAGGTTTGGTTTAAGGTACCAGCTTCTCCTGCCCTTTACCAGCAGGGTCTGGTGTGTGTGTGAATAGAGTGAGCAAAACTTTCTGGCTGAGATGGAGGGAGGGAGGAGAAAGACGAGGATGGATGGATGGATGGATGGATGGTGGGAGGGAGGGAAGAAGGAAGGAAATGGGAAGGAAGGGGAAAGAGGATGGATGGATGGAGGGAGGGAAGAAGGAAGGAAATGAGAAGGAGGGAAGGAAGATGGAGGGAGGGAAGAAGGAAGGAAATGAGAAGGAAGAAAGAAAAAAGGAAAGAAGGAGAAGGCAGGAGGAAGGGGAAAGAGGAGGATGAATGGATGGAGGGAGGGAAGAAGGAAATGGGAAGGAAGGAAGGAAGGGGAAAGAGAGGAGGATGGATGGAGAAAGGAAGGGAAGAAGGAAGTAAGGGGGTAGGTAGGAAGGAAGGGAGGGAAGGAGGGAGGAAGAACCTTCTCCCCGCGGCCTCCCGGCGCTCAGCCGCGCCTTCGACTCCCTCGTTCCCTTCCAGCCTCCCAGGGCGGCGGGGCGCTGGAAGGACCCAGCCAGGGGGCGGGGCGCGCGGAAGGGTCGGGGGGGGGAGGACCCGGCCGAGGAGGCGGGTTGGACGTGAGATTTTCAAACATCAGATCGGTGCGTTTATATATTGGGTGCCCGGAAATTTTTCCAAATAAACACAGCTTGATTCGACTTGGGTGGTCAGACTTATCAACAGACTAATGCTATAAACAAATGAAGGGGCGCAAGCGGGGGAGGGCCCCCCCTCGGCCCAGCCACGTGGAAGGGCTGCAGCCTTCGCAGGGAAACGTTAATTAATGTGGGTGGGCTGCGGCGCGCTCCGCGGCTGTTTATCGCAGCCCGTTTCTTTTCCAGCCCTAAGTCAACACAGCATCGCAAACTTACAACAAGCATCGCACGTTTCCTCCCCCCCTTCCTCCTCCTCTTCTTCTTCTTCTTCTTCCTCCTCTTTTTTTCTCCTTCGTTTTTTTTCTTTTCCCTCCCCACTTCTGGGGGAGAAAAAAGCGCGCTATGCAGCTGGGGCAGAAGGAGAGCAGGCGCGCCAGAGGCCAGGACGCGCCGTCGCCAGCGGGCCCAGCGCAGGCAGCTCCGGCCAGGCCTGGGGAGATCCCCCCCTTTCCCGGGCCCTCGCTCCCGCGCGCCGGAGTGACTCCGGATCTGCCATGAGCCAGCTTTACCCCGGCCAGCTGCCCGCCCCGATGGTTTACCTCTACGGGGCGGAGCGGGGAGCCTTGTCGGGCGCGCTGGGCTTCGCCCCGGCGGCGGGGGTGCTGCCCAGGCAAGAGACCCCGCAGAAGCCGCCCTACAGCTACATCGCCCTGATCGCCATGGCCATCCAGCAGGCGCCGGAGCAGAAGGTGACGCTCAACGGCATCTACCAGTTCATCATGGGGCGCTTCCCCTTCTACCACGACAACAAGCAGGGCTGGCAGAACTCCATCCGCCACAACCTCGCGCTCAACGAGTGCTTCGTCAAGGTGCCCCGGGAGAAGGGCCGCCCGGGCAAGGGCAGCTACTGGACGCTGGATCCCCGCTGCAGCGACATGTTCGAGCACGGCAATTACCGGCGGAGGAAGAGGAAAGTCCGCGGCGACCCCCAGGCAGCGGAGGAGGCCGGGCTCGACCGGCAGGGCGCCCCCGGGGAAGCCCCCAAGAGGCGCCTCTCGAACCCCCCCGGCGGGCAGCAGCAGCGCCCCCGCCTCCCCCTCCAGCCCGGCGCAGAGGAGGAGCTGAAGCCGAGCCCCGGCGGCCGGGAGCAGCAGGAGGAGGAGGAGGAGGAGGAAGAGGAGGAAGGCGGCGAGGAGAGCCGGCTGGCGGCCACGACGGCCGGAGGGCCAGCCCCCAAGCCGGGCCCGGCCGAACCGCCCCTCCGGGGGTCCCCAGCTGGCCTCTCCCCGCCGCGCCCCGAGGACCGAGCGCCCAGCCTTGGAGAAGGTCCCGCCGCGCGCTTCTGGGCGCCCTCGGCCGCCAGGCTTCTCCAGCACCCCGAGGCGGCCCCGCGGGCTGCGGCGCTGGCTGCCCACCGGGCCGAGCCGCTCAGACCCCCGCGGGGCTCGGCCAAGCCCCGCAGCTTCAGCATCGAGAGCATCTTGGCGCGGAAGGTCCTGGCGGCGCCGGCCAAAGGCGAGCCCAGCGCGGCCCTCTCCAAACTGGACCAGCGGGTGGGCAGCGGCGCGCCTGGCGAGGGCAGCGCAGCGCGCCCGGCTTTCAACGCCTCGCTGGGGCTGGATTCCCACTTCCCCGGCCGGTTCTACCAGCTGGGCATCCCCTTCCTTTCCTACCTGCCGCTCCGCTTCTCGGAGACGGTCTTCCCCTTCTAGAGCGCTGCAGCCCCGGGCGCGCTACGCCTCGGTCGCGCAAGACACCCGGCTCGCCTAGCGAAGGTCCGTCTGCCCGGGAGTCGGCTGGAAGTGGTGGGGTTCCCACGTGCAAGCCCAACCCGTCACTGCCCAAGTCCCCCCCCCCCCCGCTTGATCTTCGAGACTTGAAGCACCGTCCAATCGGCCCTGAATTTCGCAGGGACTCTGCTTGGGGTCGAAGGAGGCGACCAAAGGCGTGCTCAACGGCTTTGCGGATCGCGCCGCCAAATCAGCCGCTTCCAGGCTTCTGGCTTTGCCGCCCGAGAATTTCTGGGGTTGTAAGCCCGGCCTCTGCCCGCTCGCCTCGAAACGTCCTTCCGAGTACAGTCAACCTACTTAAATCATGGGAACCTGGGTATATATATGCGTGGGTATATATATAAAAAGCGGCTCGGAAATGGGATCCCACGGGAAGACAGTTTCCACGAGTAAACTATCACCTGTGGGAGAACGATCCCGAATTTTCTAGGACGTTTGGAGTAGCTGCAGCTTTTCGCCGTCCTGTCTATGCATTGCTTTTTTATTTTTGCGTGCGGCCCCTGACATCTAGAACGGGCCCGACTGGATGAACTCTGGAATAAAAAAAAAAAAACAGCGCTTTAATGGTACGGCTCTGGAAAGGAGGGCGGTTGGTTTGCAATGGAAACCTTTTACAGATGTGGAAGAAGTTCCGATTTTACATATAGCACACATCAGGAGGAAGAACATTTTTTCTTCTGCAGAAGCTCAAGTTTTGGGACTCCTGGGGGTGAAATTTCACACCGTTTCTCCCCTCCCCCCAACAGCTTTTGATTTGCAATCCGGATCAACAATGTGCTTTTGCTCAGAGAGAAAACATCTGCCCCCCCACACACGTGCATTTTTGCAAAAGCTGGCTCTGCTCTTTATTATGTCCCTCCTGGCTTATGTCCCTTGTTATACCCATTAATTAAGCCACTGACCACATTAATGGACTTGAAATTTGGAGGGTAGCTTTACAATAATAGCAAGCCATGCTCTTTTTAATATATATATATATTATCTTAACATACCTTAAAAAGCAATATCTTATTTTTGCTCTAAAAAGAGGCTTTTTTTTGTATATGAGTTGATCTATGTCTTTTACCTTTAAAAAACAATAAAATAAAGACCTATTTTCAAAAAGATTTGGTTTGCAAGAAAAACCTACACCAATAAACTCTTTTGTTTATCTTTTGCCATTTTAGATAATTTCTTGAATCAGGAATGGGGGGGGAGAATAGAGACAAGGGTCAACTGGAGAAAAGGGGGATGGGTAGGGAATAACAAAGGGCAAAATTAAGCAAGGATAATGCTGGGATAATGCAAATGTGGGTCCATATATAGGCAGCAAGGAGCTAGTCAGCTCTGTTTTCAGGATGCCACTTTGCACTGCTTCAGGCTGATAGTCCTCATGGTTTTAGGAGGGCTTGGTCACTTGGCTCCTGGAAGACTCACAGCCTAGGATTGCCACTCAGGGAACACCATCCCCCACTCCATATTAAAAGTCTTTTTCAAATTAGTCTTGATTGGTTTAGGTGCCCAGTTGGGCTGAGCCCTTGTTTTCTTGGCAACAAAGTGGAAGTTTGTCGGTCCACTGCCAACTGTTTCCAGGAAGTTTTTCTCAACTTTTCAGTTTAACCTTGACTGTCTTTCCGTTTGGTCTGTATGGCACGATTTGCAAAACTCCCTCAGGATGGAGTTGGCATCTTCCCTCTCCTTCTTAGTCAACCCACAGCAGCAACAAGAACCTAGTTTGCCTTAACCATCTAGCTTTGCCCTCCTCCTGGAAGATTCCTGTGAAGGTTTGGTTTGCCACAAACACACAACAGCTAAAATGCACTCAGAGTTCCTTCTGAAAGATGGATGAGCATATAAATAGGTTGGATAAATAAACTTAATCTGAAGATGGCCTCCTAACCAAAACTCAGTCCCATCCATCCATCCATCCACCCATTTGCTTAAAGTGTTCAACTTCATATACAGATACCTAGGCCCAGTTTGGCTTTTAATTTTATTTATTTATTTTTTTTGCAGTTCCAGAGGCTTCCACATCCAATGTAGGTTTGTAACTCCTAGCTCAGACCTTCGAAGTAGTTTTCATGAAAGATTGGAGAATTTCTGTGATGTGAATTTATTTAAGCTCACAAACTAATCCTATACTGGATATATTTATCTCCAAAAAGAGAAACGGCCAACATCTAAATATTCTTCTTCCTCTTCTTCTTTCTTCTTCTTCTTCTTCTTCTTCTTCTTCTTCTTCTTCTTCTTCTTCTTCTTCTTCTTCTTCTTCTTCTTCTTCTTCTTCTTCTTCTTCTCCTCCTCCTCCTCCTCCTCCTCCTCCTCCTCCTCCTCCTCCTCCTCCTCCTCCTCCTCCTCCTTCTCCTCCTCCTTCTCCTCCTCCTCCTCCTCCTCCTCCTTCTCTTCTTCTTCCTTCCTCCTCCTTCTTTCTTCCTTCTTCTCCTCCTCCTCCCCCTCCCCCTCCTCCTCCCCCTCATCCTCCTAACTTCCTCTGCCTCCATCTCTGGATCCCTTTTGGAGGTCCATGACTCCACTACCTCTGATTAGCAGAGAAGAAGAAAGCTCAAAAGAGCATGTTAAGATGTGAGGTGAGGCTGTTCCCTCACCAATGACTTCTTCCTGAGCCATCCAGCCACTTCTCTGTCCTTTGGACAGCTGGCCACAGTCTGATGACATTAAAAGTTGTTATAAATTGCTAGGAAGGGAGCAACCTAACTGTAGGCTGTCTTTTATGAAGTTTTCCCATCTGCTGCCTGAGGATAGGGCAGTTCTGAAAAAAATGATGCTACTTCAAGGATCATCCATCACTCCTTCCATACCCTATGGTGAAGGGCGTGAGTCAGAGGTTGAGCCTGCGTCCTGCTTGCCCACCCACCATGCAGGCAAAGGGGAGATCCCGGGGGACACATCTGTGTATGGAGGAACAGCTGGATTTGCAACCCAATCTCACCTTTCCTTCCTGCCATTCTCTGTATATAGACCTCCCGCCTCAGCAACAGAGCCATCTGTTTCTGCTACTTTTCCCCATACTACAGGTGAGTAGGAGCACTTTCTTCCTGGACATTTGGCACTCATAGCAAAGAAATATGGCCAGGTGGGAGTGTTGGGTCCAATCTGATTTCTAGAAGACAGTTGACTCATAGCTGATCTTTGAGTAGAGACTGAGGTGGCCTTTTCAGAGAGAAATGGGAGGGTGGGACATTTATTGGGGATGCATGTAACATCTGGAGTTGCCAGAAAGTTGTGCACACTCTAAAAAAAAGCAGAAGAAAATATATATTGGTTACTCCACAACTCTAAGCAGTGGAAACTTGCTGTGTGTGTGCACATATATGTGTGCTATAATGTTTGGTTTGGTTTCTGTGGTCACAAGGCCACTGGAAGTTTATTGTTGTTGGATATTTGTCTTGGTGATATTTCTGTTTATTTACTAATATGCAGATTGAGCTGATCAGAAGCAAAGCTGGGCTAGCCCAACTGAAGCTTAGGAGACTACAAGACTCTTAAGAACTCCACATGCCCATTTTTAAAATGTCTTTTCCAAGCCCCTGGTGCATCAGGTGCCGTCAAGTGGCTGTTGACTCTTAGCAATCAGACAGTCAGAGCTTCTTCAGATGATCTTTTATTCAACCAAGGTCACCCTTGTCTCATTTCTAGAGGACCTTCTTATGAGTGATTCTAGTGTCATGGAGGAGAACAGCTTAGTAAGTTATCCCGTAGCTTCCTTCTTAAAAGTTATGGCAGCAGCCAAAAAAGCCAATGCAGAGGGACAGAATCAAGATGTTGTGGGTGTTCCAATACCGGACAGCCATTGGTCTGCAATGGGAAAGGGTCTCCGGCTTGACCAGGGGGATGGACTAGAAGACCTCCAAGGTTCCTTCCAAGTCTTGCTATGTTAAAGTTAAAAACTTTATAAGATTTGACAACAAGTATCTTCCCTAGAATTGAATTTGCTTCCTTGGTGGGGAGAAAACCACTTCCTTCTTTAGAGTGAAAAAATGTAGCCTTAACTGTTCTCCTTTCTCTGAGTGATGAAAAATACAAATGAAAGAAACCATGTTCATCTCCAAAGAAAAGGACCAATTGTTTCTTTCCCCAGGCATATGTTTTTTTCCCCTTCCAATCTTTTTTAGCAGGGAATATTTGAGACTATATTATCAGATTTGTGCAAAGAAGCCATGAACGAGGCACAAATCCACCCTTCCCCTTGAGAACCTGCTGGTTGTTAGTCAGGCGGGTCATTTGATCTTATCCTAAAGAGCAAAAGAGATAATCGGTGAGTAACAAACGTTGCATAAAGGGAAATCACATTGCAGCTTGTTTTCCCTCCGCCTGTGGTCTCAACTGTTCCTGCTAGTCAACATTGTTCCTTCGTCTCCAAGGCTTCATCCAGGGATATTGCTCAATGCTTTGCCATCCACCAGATCCTTCCATGGACCTCAAGGCGTGGGGAGTGGGTGGGTTGGAAGAGTCTGTGGTCTAAGGTTTGGGGAATTACAGATCTACTTTAACTGTAATTTAAAATATAATTTGCTATCTCTTAAGTTGTTTTCTGCCTTCCTTGAATTAGAATACTGGGTATTGTGTGATGTTGCCAGAACTCAAAATGAGGATGTATTATTTTATTTACATCACTGGAATATGTTTGCAAAATTGCATATTCTTGTGGTTAGTATCCTTTCCTTCCTTCCTTCCTTCCTTCCTTCCTTCCTTCCTTCCTTCCTTCCTTCCTTCCTTCCTTCCTTCCTTCCTTCCTTCCTTCCTTCTTTCTCTCCTTCCTTCCATCCTCCCTCCCTCCCTCCCTTCCTTTCATTCCTTTCCTTCCTTCCTCCCTCCCTCCCTCCCTCCCTCCCTCCCTCCCTTCCTTCTCCTCCTCCCTCCCTCCCTCCCTCCCTCCCTCCCTTCCTTTCCCTCCCTCCCCCTCCCTCCCTCCCTCCCTCCCTCCCTCCCTTCCTTCCTTCCTTCCTTCCTTCCTTCCTTCCTTCCTTCTCTTTTCCTCTGGAAAAATTGAGTTTTTTCTTGAGAAGAAAAAAATGGCATGGTCTTTATTTTATACTTTTATATACTTTAATGCATATAAAGAATTAAAAATGCACAGGCCGAATGCTACCTTAAAGTGTTTTAATTCTAGCTTTCTCACAATAAGCACCCCTAGATGCATGCTGGGATCTTTTTAAAAATAAAATCTCAGCTGTTTCTTTGGTCTATGAAAGTGCTCTACTTTTCAAAAGGAGCAGCTGCACCTCCGCTGAAGACAAAGGACAGTCGGCAGTGAAGAAGCTTTAGACATGTGCAACAGAAGGAAGAAAGACAAGATGGGTGTGTGTGTGTGTGTGTCTCACCAGCACAATGGCATCCTCGCTTGTCAGATGTGAAGTGTTGGGTGCTGATTGGGGCTGGATTTTGCCTGATTATGAGGTCCTACACTGGGGTAATCTATCATCCTACAAAGAAGGTGAATTGATGTATTGCAAGGATCTCAAACTTGGCCCTTTTATGACTTGTGGACTTCAACTCCAAGAATTCCTCATCAAGGGCTACTGGCTGAGGAATTCTGGGAGTTGAAGTCCACAAGTCATAAAAGAGCCATGTTTGAAGATCACTGATGTATCGTTAGAGTTGAGTCTAGAATTGTGGAGATCCTGGTTTCCATTTGATCATGGAAGTCTTTGGTTCTTGGTTAATTGCATTGGCTTCTTGGTTAATCACAACCATCCCAATCATCTCCAGAATTTTCCCCAGGATAAAACTGGGTTAAGAGAATGAACTCAGAATGAAATGGAAGAGAGGTGGAATATGAAGGTTAAGAAATGAGCAAGGCTGAGCAGAGACTTCACTAATTCGTATTTGTGATCATTGGATTTGGAAAGGATTGGAGAATAAAAATGGTCCAGTCCCTTATTGATCTTGAAGACCATCATAATAGGGAAGCAAAGTTATTATCTAGAAAATGGGTCTTCAAACATGGCAACTTTAAGACTTGTGGACTTCAACTCCCAGAATTCCCCAGCCAGCATGGCTAGCTGAGGAATTCTGGGTGTTGAAATCCACAAGTCTTAAAGTTGCCATGTTTGGAG